TATATATCAGCTGGTAAAAGGCAATGTATAGGTAATAGATAATCTCTCAAGTTTTAGAATTTTAGGTTTTTGTTTTGTTTTTTTTTGAGATGAAGTCTCACTCTGTTGCCAGATTGGAGTGCAGTGGCACAATCTTAGCTCACTGCGACCTCTGCCTCCCAGGTTCAATCAGTTCTCCTGCCTCAGCCTCTCGAGTAGCTGGGTCTATAGGCACGCACCAGCATGCCCAGCTAATTTTTGTATTTTAGTAGAGATGGGGTTTCACCATGTTGGCCAGGTTGGTCGCCATCTCCTGACCTCGTGATCCACCGCCTCGGCCTCCCAAAGTGCTGGGATTACAGGCGTAAGCCACTGAGCTCGGCCTAAAAAAACATTTTAAGTAGAACTAGAGATCATTCCACTCAGTATTAAAGCAGGTGTGCCAGGAGCCTACTGCTTGGAAACTGTGAGTTGGAGGGACACTCAATGAGCAAAACACTCAACATGAGAAATGGCACTCAGTTGCCACCAGTAGTTTGTTGCCATGGAAAGCTCCCTGAGGGCAGAGTGTGTTTTATTCATCTTGGTGGGCCCAAGCCTCCAACTGTGCTCAGCAGCACTCCACCCACACTTTCTCTTAGTGAACAATTTTATTTTACATTGACTCAAAAAAATTATAGCTATGTTGGAACAAGAGTCAGTGTGAGAAATCTATAGTCTATGGACCTGAGCCTTGCTGTAGTAGGGAGATTTTGAAGATTTCCCAGAACAGTGAAGTAAGAATGCAATACCCTCCCAAGTTCTTGCAAGAGTGTTAAATCATTTGAAGGAATCTAGCATCCAAGGCTTCCCTGAAGGTTCCTGATGTGGGGATGGTCAGATGGGTGAGGTAAGGCTTTTCTTGTACAGGGAAAAGAAGTCCCTTAGGGCTGCCCAGTGTGAATAAACTGCCTGGAAGTGTTCCTGGGGCCTCAAAGTCTCCAGCAAATCATGAGAGGCACTCACAGGCACTGTCCTGGAATCTCAAATATGGCTTGAAGGCCAGCTATAGCAGCTTAGAAATTCTCTACTCTCAAGGGCCTCTAACAACTCCAAGAAATTATTTTGGTTGCTTCTGATTTCAAGGTCAAGAACCCTGGAATTTTGCCAAAGTAATGTAGAGCCTGAAATTCAAGTAAAAAGAATTGGAAGTAGGCTGTCCATATGGCCGCAGGCTGGCTACAACAAGAGAAACACTGGAAATCCCATTCCTAATGGGCCTGACCTGACACATGTGTGGTATATGTTGTTAGCTTCATGCTCATTCTTAATCTTCAGAGATTCTGTTCCTTGAAAGTGGGAAATGTATCCAAACTCATATTATCTTAACTCATATCAATTTGGCAGACTTAATGATAAGTAAAAGTATGGTAATACATAAATTGTTACATAATATGTTTAAAGAGTAAGGGAATATAGTAGCACATAAATGAATTCATTATTAGATATATATTCTATGTATCAATTTCAACATACTGATTCTGTATCTATCTATTAGACACAGACTAGATCACTAATTGATTCTACCTATCTATTTCAACATACTGATTGTATGTCTGTTGTATAGAACCTAAATATGTAGAACTAGCCCTAAGTTTCAGTTCATGTATGGGAATATAAAGGCTTTGGAGGAGCTTCATACTGCTGACTTTTCTTTTTATCTGCAGCAAAATACATTCTCAGAAAATGTCATACTAAAAATAATACATCACTATCTCTTCCACCATTTCTCTCCACTGGACTCTGTATTTAAATGGCTGCAATCCGTATGGCCCAAAATGCCAACTCTCCTTCCTTTGCAACCATTGTGCCCACTAACTTCTCAGTGACCCAGAGAAAACTTCTGGATTTCCTGGGCCCAGTGGTTTCCCATTTGGACCTGAGCCACCTCCACACATGAGGACATTCATGCTTATTGGGCACTCTCACATCTTACTATACTACCCAAGTCAGTCATCTTACCTCTTGGTTCCCACTTTAGGGTTCTGAGGTATGTCAATAGTGTTCAGTATTGAATCATGCTTCACAGCCAACCCTAAGTCCGCTATGGCACAAGTTTCACATTTTTTCACTAAGATATTCTTTGATTTTATGTCTCGATGAGCAATAGCAGGTTTACCTATGAAGCATAAGAAGAACATATATATTTTTTTCTTTACTGAAGACTGAGTCTGTCCAAGAGAAATCATCATGAAGACTTAGCTCAAAGTGTGCTAATTCAAAAAGAGTCTTCTTCAGAACTCTTGTCACTATCGAAATTATCTTGTTTATTTATGTACATACTGAATAATCTGTCTCTCCCAACTAAACTGTAAACTGAATGAGGGCAGTAACTGTTTTGTTCTGCCCTCTATTGTTCTATTCTAGAATATTTTGTTCTATTGGTTAGAGCAATGGAAGACTAGATCACTAATAAATATTTTTAATAGATGAGGAAATAATTAGTACTGCTATGTCCTCAAGAGAACATGGCAAATATTGTTTTACAAAATAAGTCTGAAAACTTCTACTACCGTACACGAGCATTTCTCAATTGTGGCCAAAAGATCCCCGAGGTCCTTGCAACTCTTTTCTAACTATGCATCTGTGTGACATCACCTTTTCTTTACATATTTCAACCAAAACAACATATGAAAACAGATGGAATGAAGAACAGGTATGAAAATCCAGACATTAAAACAGACATTAAAGGGATTTGCAACATTGTAAAACAAAGCCACTATTTTCATTAGATCAGTTTGTGTATCGGAAAAAAATGTTGTTAAATTTAAAATACGTCATTTATGTTAACATTTAATTGGTTATTATTTTAAGAAAATTAAGTACTTTTAAACTCAATTTTAATTTCTAATATTGTAAACAGTAATAGATATAAGCTACATACACAAAAACCTTTGTAGTCCTCAATAATTTTAAGAGTGTAAAGGGATCATGAGTTCAAATGTGAGAACCACTGCCCTGTCTAGATTAATTGACTCTTAGAGCCAACTTTCTTAATAAACGGAAAAGGTAGTAGGTACTATTTGGTCTTTAAGTACATAATATACAAATTTTTTTTTCAAAATCACGTTACACTTTCCAATTACTTTTTTAATTATCAAAGGGAAACATTTAAATTAGTTGTGATAATAGGACATTTGCCACTAAAGCAAGATCTCCCAGGTACATATGCTAAATGGCAAAGATAGAACCACTAGGAATAAATTATTTTAAATACTATTAAGGATAAGATACAAAATAGCATACTGATGAGAGTTGGCTATATTATGATAACACCTTTAGCTTTTAAATTACCCTTAGTGTTTCTTCACTTTTTTTTTTTTTTTTCCAATATAGGGTCTCGCTCTAAACTAGAGTGCAGTGGTACAGTCATAACTCACTGCAGCCTGGACCTTCCAGGCTCAAGTTATCCTCCCACCTCAGCCTCCCCCCTTTTTTTTTTTTTTTTCCAATATAGGGTCTCGCTCTAAACTAGAGTGCAGTGGTACAGTCATAACTCACTGCAGCCTGGACCTTCCAGGCTCAAGTTATCCTCCCACCTCAGCCTCCCAAGTATCTGGGACTAAAAACACATGCCACCACAACCAGATTTTTTTTTTTTTTTTACAGATGGACATCTCACTGTGTTGCTCAGGCTGTTCTCAAATTCCTGGCCTCAAGTGATCCTCCCACCTAAGCCTACCAAAATGCTAGGATGACAGGTATATGCCACCGTGCCCAGCCTCTTTACATTTGATAATTATTTCTAATAAATTACAATATAACTAAGTACTTCTACCCTCATATTCAAATTGTAAAGAAATGAAAAGGAAATACATACCTTGTGTACCAACAATCTCCATATGAAGGTGTGCCAGACCACTAGCAATTGAGAGCGCCAGCTTGATCATTCCAGCCACAGTCACTATGTTTCTATTCAAATAGTCATATAAAGAACCCTGTTCATGATATTCAGATACCAGCCAAAGTTGAGTCCAAGTTCCATTATCTAACAAGAAAATACAATTTTTTGAGAAAGAAGCCAAAAACTTTTAACAAATATTAGTGTTTAAATTAATCTGTGTTGTTAACACAGCAAAGTTAATTGCTTCAGTGGTAATGCTTACAGTCCAAGTTAGTAAAGAAAAAAATTCTCAATGAATATCTGAAGATACCGATATGTTGGAACCTGTTATATGTGCCCACCATAAAAACAGAAAGTTGTGAGGTTGTGACTGATTGTAACAACTGAACAACTCCTTTCTTATTTCCTCTATATCAATACCTGATGGCAATAGTAACCACATTATAGGAGAAACTACTGAGAGGTGAATTTAGGCTCAGTGTTGTATTATAAATTACTCTGAGCTTTTAAGAAAAATTGTACCAATAAACATCAGAAATACAACAAATTTAAGCAAAGTATTATTATTTCTATCATAAAAGCTCTAACATTCTAAAAATGTTGATGTTATTCACCCTTCAAAATATAAAGTTGGTTATTTTCCCCAAAAGCTTATAGTAAGAGCCAAACACAATCACTAGACATTTTCAAATAATTTACCTCATTTAGCCAAAACCTAATCCAGCTTATAAAAGACTTTTGGAAATTACCCTAAAACTTTTCTACATATTAGTAGAGTGAGCTTTAGCTTTGGAAATAATATGTCTACAGTAACCCTGGGCAGTCCTGACCAGTACTGACAATCAGGGAAAAGATCTACAATGAACATTTGCTAAGGACCTATCTGGCCAGATGCTTTATGTACAAGAGCTCTTTATTATCCAAATATTTAATTTCCAAATCTGGGTAGTGATAAAATTTCCTAGGAATTTAAAAGTCAACATAACATGGTAAAGCTCATTAACATACAACATATAAAAATAACCCGTTCTCACACCTCTCTCCCTGATCGACACCAGCCGCTATCTTGTCCTTTCATATCAATGCTTTTGTCTGACACTTGACTAAAGAATGAAACTGTAAATGTTGCAAAAGGTAAAGGAATTAAAAAATGAAAGTGTTGTTAGGATCATTTGAAATCATGCAAAAAGCCACTGACAAGTTAGAAGATGATAGAGGTAGACCAGTTAAACTCAAGAAGGGAAAACCCAGGATAATCTCTCTTGTGAATATTATTATTATTATTTTATTTTTATTTTTTGAGACGGTGTGTTACTCTGTCGCCTAAGCTGGAGTACAGTAGTGTAATCTCGGCTTACCACAACCTCCACTTCCCAGGTCCAAGCAATTCTCTTGTCTCAGCTTCCTGAGTAGCTGGGATTATAGGCACCCACCACCACGCCCAGCTAATTTTTTGGGGGGTGGGTGGTATTTTTAGTAGAAATGGGGTTTCACCAGGTTGGCCAGTCTGTCTTGAACTCCTGACCTTAGGTGATCCACCCACCTTGGACTCCCAATGTGCTGGGATTACAGATGTGAGCCACCATGCCTGGCCAATGCATATTCTATTATAATCCAATAAACATCATGTTAAATTAGCCCATGAAGATGATCCATGTACAGTGATAACTGTTTTAACAGCATTGCTGATGAATCCAACCAGTAGGCTGTTCAGCTTCAGATTAGGAGAGAAAAGAAAACATTCTTAATGGCTAAATGAGAACTGTCTCATCCTCAGTGATCTGGATATAGTTTCAAAGTATATGTAGTTACAAATTTGGAAAAAACTTTTTTTGTTAGCCATCTTGCCTTTACCACTTTTCTCCTTAGCAAAATCAGAAATGACAAATCATCAACAAACATAATTATGACCAAAATGTATGCTAAATGCTACACCTCTTTTTCCATGCAGTTAATAATGAATACTTTTATAATTAAGTTTATAGTAGATAAAATTAACTATAGGTTCTTAATTTTCACAGGCTTTGGTGGAACCCTGACATCCATAGATAATGTGTATTAACCCTTTTTTAGATTGGGGTTACAATCTCGACTCCACCAAAGTGCTTCATGAGTATTACTAACTGGAGTTCAAGTTTAAAAGTTGACTGAATCAAGTTTTCCTCACTTTTGTTACCCATTAGGGGCACTAATGAACAGTTAAATGAGTTTTGTAAAAAGAAGAGAAAAAGCATAGATAATCTACAAACTCTATATCCAATCTGTGTTTATATAAGCATAGGTACAATATTTTATGAGTACTTATTTTAAATATCAGAAAGCTGGTGCTCTGACTTGCTCCATGAAACTCAAAAAATAACAAACACTGCTTGGCACTGTTAATGTTGGCCTCAAGATACAAATTGTGCTCAAAGTAACATTAATAAAAAATTTCACTAAAATTGTCTTGCTTACCACCATTCTGATACAATCAAAAGAGATAATCAGAAAATTTAGATGAAGCCTGTTATACGAATGAAAAATATAGCATTAGCAAAGTTGGGCATTCAGCTAGTATTCATTGGTATGTCTGTATTGGTTACTAAAATATTGAAATATTTCCATCCTTGTTGTTAAACAGCTGCTATTCAAAACTCCCAGGCCGGGAGCAGTAGCTCAAGCCTGTAATCCCAGCAATTTGGGATGGCGAGGTGGGGACATCACTTGAGCTCAGGAGTTTAAGACCAGCCTAGCCAACATAGTGAAATCCCGTCTCTACTAAAATTACAAAAATTAGCCAGGCATAGGGGCAGGCGCCTCTAGTTCCAGCTACTTGGGAGGCTGAGACAGGAGAATTGCTTGAACCCAAGAGGCGGAGGTTGCAGTGAGCCGAGATTACACCACTGCACTCCAGCCTGGGCGACACAGGGAGGCTCCGTCTCAACAACAAACAAACAACAACAACAAAAAAAAGCTCCCAAATTCCCAATGATACTCCTTTGCCCTAGAAACCCAGATGCCTCCATCTCTTCATGACCCAGCAGCAACTAAAGGGATAAAACATAGCATGGCAGAGTTCTCTAGGATTCTGTTCCAGTTGAGGCTTCTGTTCTGATTAGTTGGTTCCTGCACCCAACAGTCAGCAAACATTTTAAGCACTGCCCTGGCTATCTGGACATTATGATTTTCTATCACTCATTTGCCCTGCTTCATTGTATGGTTATATACATTTATCAGTGGGAAAGAAGAAAGGATTTTATATAAATTAGACTTTCATATAGACTTTATTAAAAAAAAGAGATGAATTTATTTTTTTCTCATCTGATAATAGACATTTTTTTACTTGCTGAACCCAATTACATTGGAAATACCTTTGTTGTCGGCAGCAATGAAACCAAGGATGTTTTCATGTCGTAGCATGACCGTCTGGTAAATTTCTGCCTCACGAAACCAAGATCTTTCATCTCTGGAGGAGAATATTTTCACAGCCACATCTTCCCCACACCATCTTCCATGCCACACCTCACCAAATCTACCTTTTCCTACTATTTCCTGAAGTACAATCGTCCTTGCAATTGTCCTTTGAACCAACAGAGGTAGACCTAACCAAAGAAAAGATAGAATTGATGATTAAACACAAATGCCAGAGAAGAACTCTCATAATAATCACTGTTTTTAGATAAAAAAGCAAACATTTAAGTTCTTTAATGATTTTGTCTATTTTGAAAAAATAAGTACCATTATAGCAAACTTATTTAATGTCAAAGCATGCTGAAAAAAATACTTCAAATTATGAATATGAATTTGTCTTCTCATATTCACAAGTAAACATTTTTTAAACATATCCTGCTGCTGCAGATATCCGATTTCCAAGAATTGCTGCAAATCTCCTTCATTTGTCCATCAAAGTCAGTCAGGTTACTAAATACACAAGAGTAAAAGCAAAAAAAAAAAAAAAATGTGTTAGCCTCTAAAATAAAATGTATGGCTCCTGGTACAACTGGAAGAGCAAAATAATTCTTTGGGAATTTTTTCAAAACCAAGCTAAAATTGGAAAGTGAAGAATCAAATGCAGTGGTCAAGTGAGATAATGATATTGCACTAAAAGCAAGATATAGTCAAAGAAGATAATCAAACGAAAATTTCCTGTGGAACAAAAAAAATTTTCAAAGAAAATATATCCGGAGTGTATATATAATGCTTATATTCTTTGAACTCCTAACTCTACCTCTAGAATTCTGTCACAAATACTTAATGCGAAATGTAGAAAAATTTATGTCAAGATGTTTAATACCTTATTATTAGTAACAGGAAAAAATAAGGAAACGTGTCAGGTAATGGAATAATTGTGAAATAAAGTGCAGAGATTAAGAGCACAGATAAGAAAGACATGGGTTCAAATTTCAGCTCTGCCACCTGGTTGGTAATCATGGGCAAGTTATTTCACCTGTCTGAGCTTCAGCTTCTTCATCTGAAAAACTGGGAACAATAAATATTATCCATCTCATAGAGATGATATGAGAATTAATAAGCAAGTTAAGATCTAGCACAGTAGCATATTACATGCACATATTACATATTACATGGCTTACTTGGGGCCAATAATGATGATGCTTATGAAATGTATTTAATAACATTAAAAAAAACTTTTGCTATACTATTGAACGAAAACAGCACCGTACATTTTATTCTTATAAATAAGTGTACCTAGCTATTCAAAATATGCACAGAAAATAAGACTCAAAAGGAAATATGCTCAATGTTATGATGGTCATTTTGTAAAACTGGGTGAGTTATGATAGTCTTCTTTCTAATTTTCTACATTTTCTTAATTTTGTAATAGATAATTTATTACTCTTCAAATCAAAGGAAAAATAGTTAAAGAGGTTACAGTCTACATTTATTCTGAAAAGCCACACTTAGTTATTGTTTTTGTACTGGGACAGCTAGGGAACCCTCATAGCAATGAACCTGTAGCTTGTGGGAACTTTGGTCCACACACCTAAAATGAGTCAATGTTCATTCATATGTTCCCATATGAACATATAAGCACAGGCTAAATAAGGGCAGACTATAAATCTGCTGTTATGGATCTCAACAATTAGTCACAAAACCCTACAGGCAGAAAGGGAGGGGGGAGGGGGAGGGGGGAGGAGGGAAGGGAGGAAAGGAGAGAGGGAAGGCAGTCTTCTAGACAATAACTTAATTTGGATTCCAGTTTTTAAAACTTTGCAGTTTGGGGGTTTTCTTACTACTATTCTTCCTTTGAAAGACGCTACCTAATGTGTACAGTGAGGGTGTAAACATTTAGACTTCATCGGTGGGAGGGAGCAGGTGATTTTGTCCCAGAAGGAGCAAACTATCTGGGTTCGATTATGCTTTGCTTTTCTGATGAATCCAAAGCTGCTTCATGCTAACTGTGGATGCACATAAGGATGTTATCACCCCTCTGTTGCCTACATCTGTTAATTGTGCCTGCCTGGATTTTCCTGAAAGACATTGGCAATGGAGTTCTTCAAAATGCTGGGCTATAATCTTAATGATTCTTCCAAAACAAGAAGAGATGCAGGGGCTTCTAAGTGGCTCACCTATGGTCACTCTTGTTCATATTTCTGTAAACCACAAGCTGGTAGGATTTGTGGATACATATATGAAAGTAGGGAATCCCCTACCATTTTAGGAAGTTTGTTATTCTAGGGAAAACTGCCCCACCACCACCACCACCACCACCCACTCACCCCACCTCCTGCCAGAAAAAAAAAAAAAGCTTTCAAATACATTGTGTTGTGAGAAAGGCTCATTTAGGCTATAATACTGTAATACAGCCTGGTACTCTGAATGCTTTACAAGGGGTTCTGGAGTTCCATTAAAGAGGAAGAGAGTTATTAATATCATGTCACCGTAACCAGCAAGAGCTAGCACAGCAATGCTGAGCTGCTCTCTTTAATCTTCTGTTTCTTAGCTTTAAGAACAGATGAGTTCCCTGTTAACTTCACATACATCCCAGGGGGTGTCTACAGATTCTGAAAATCTTCATAACCATAGGCAAAAGTGAGCAAAGAACACACTTTGTATAATCAACATCTTTCCCTCAGAACTCAACACCTTAAATACTACAACCCTAACTTTTTTGTGAACATAAAACATTACCAAGAAAGCAATAGTGATTGTTAGTAATCATAATGGGGGGAGGTAGGAAGGAGAGAAGGGACTGCTTTCTTACTTCAGAAATAAATTCTGAAGGAAAGTGAACATAAGAATCTGAACACCTAAAGCTACAAAAAGCAACTGAGAAGACTTAATTCTATAGGCCACAGTGGTTTTTCTCTTCATCAAATACTAAAAGGAGTTCCTATACCAGAGCTCACCAAGTATCCTTTCAAGATGAAATTCATAATATCTGGGCCATTTTTGTTAAAACGTTTTTATTTACTTTTAAATAAAGAGTTTTCTTATGAAAAAATGGACAACGGTCACATACCAGAGCCAGATCCAGAGGCAGTCACATCATAAATCAGATCTTTTAGGGTTTTTCCAGCATTTACCAGATTGCACTCAGAAAACGGTTCCTCCACATTCGGTCTCTTTTTCTTCCTGTAGGAGCACTGTCGACCCTGGCATGCCCATATTGTCAGCATCACAGCTATGGACAGGAGGCAAACAGGCACAGTAATAATGACGGCCAGCTCCATGGGTCCAAGTTTTGGGGCATTTGGTGATGCTACAGTTTAAAGAAGAAAAAACATGATCATAAATCAACACATTTTAAGTATTTTTAGAATTGAAATTGGAATCACCAAAATTTTACATCTAGAATATGCAGCTACACAGTATACACTTATATTCATTGGTAAAGGCTCTCTGTGGTATAAGCAAAGATGGAGAAAGGAAAATGAGATTAGGCTGCAGCTAGGAATCGTTATGGCAGGTGACAATTAGCAATATGATAAGGATAATGGAAACTAGCACATGGGATCTGTTTTTAGGATCTCTGAAGCATTTGACTCTTTTCTGTCTACTATTTTCCCTCCATTATTCAGCAGGACATTTATTATTATTATTATTATTATTATTATTATTATTATTTTGAGATGGAGTCTCACTTTATCACCCAGGGCTGGAGTGCAGTGGGGCGATCTGGGCTCACTGCAACTACCACCTCCCAGGTTTAGGCAATTCTCGTGCCTCAGCCTCCTGAGTAGCTGGAACTACAGGTGCCTGCCGCCATGCCCGGCTAATTTTTGTATTTTTATATAGACACCATGTTGGCCAGGGTGGTCTCACACTCCTGACCTCAGATGACCCACCCACCTCAGCCTCCCAAAGTGCTGGGATTACAGGTGTAAGCCACCATTCCTAGCCATAGCAGTCCACTTTTAATGCATGTACATTCATTCTTTCGTGCCAAAATAATTATTGAGCTCTTGCAATGTGTTGCCGCTATTCCAGGTGCTGGAGATACAGTGGTGAGGAAAGAGCCCAAATCCCTGTTCTTGAGTCGTATATGTTCTCATACATCTACGACACAGATGTTTAACACAAAAGCAAAAAGAATAGCCTATGAAAAAAATGAAGCAGTGATGGTGGGATGAAAAGGATTAAGAAAAGGACTGTTAATTTTATTCTAAGAAGTTGCTTCAGGGTTTCGGTAGGACAGAAATACGATCTAACTTTTATTCTGAGTGGCCACTGTGTGAATAGACACTAGAGAAGCAAGAATAAAAGTGAACAAGCCAATTAGAAACCTAATGCAAGAAGCCAGTTGGGAGACCAGGATGTTGAGTGACAACCTGACCTAAAATAGCACTTCTTTCCCATTCCCCGTTCACTCTCTAGACCCTTGTCCTGCTTGATTTTAATTCCTAGCTGTAATCACCACCTGACACATCATATACTCATTTATTTATTACCCAATTACCTCCAGAGGACATGAGCTTCGGGAGAGGAAGAAGTTTGCCTGTGTTGTTCCCAGCCATATGTCCAGTGTTTACAATGATGCCTGACACATAGTAGATGATCAGCAAATAGTTCTTAAATGACAGAATTACTAAAAGTTCTACTAGTGGTATTCCTATAAGAGACAAGACTTTTCATTTTAGAAAAAATAAATGTGATCATTGAAACCAAGTAACATAAGGATATAATTAAATTTGTGATTCTAATTTTAAAAACACATGAAGCCAATTTTTTTGCTTAAACTTCATCTTGCATTTAAGAAATCTTTTTTTAATTTAGAAAAAAAAGTGATACATGAAAAATCTATGATGACAGATAATTTCCTGTGTTTTTGAAAGAAGTTATTTTGACACTTGAAACTGACACATTGTTCATTTCCTTTTCATTGACTAAAGATAGCCTCTGCATCAATCCATTTCATCCCCTTGTCCTACTACTGCAGTGTTTTGTTTTTAATAAATCTTAGAACGTATTTGATAGAATATGGGAGCAGAATTGAGGAGACTTAGGTTCTCAAACATCAAGGAGAAGGAGAGAAATCCAGGTTCGAGAGAGAGAGACCCAGCTCCACCTCTGGGCTACCATCTTCTTGCTGTGAACCTTTGGCAAACTGCCTCCCCAGCTGATTCTCCATTGGCCAGAAAAACGATGGGAGACCATGCTTGGAAAGCTATAGCCTGACACCTGCACCTTAGCATCTCAACAAATGGCAATGATAATGGCCTTGATAGTTTCGCCATTCGCCAGATGTCCTCCTTTGCACTGACAATGCTAGAGAGCTTAATACCTTAGATGTTCTTGCACTTTACCTACAATGTGTCAAAAAATACATGACTATCATTTGAAAACAAATATTATTTAATTCTGAAAGAAAAAAGAATCAAATTCCTCACAAATGTGTTCATAGAGATTTCTCCATAATGCCAAAGATAGTAGTCTATCTACTATCAGTAAGTAAAAGATTTAAAATTGTTAAGTGAACTTCAGAAATGAACATAATCCATGCTGTTCTACTACTTTGCATAGTGAATTTTCACTGATTACCAACTTTTCTTCCCCTGAGTGTTTCAGAATTCCTCTGAAATTATTAGTAGTTGTACAAGTGCATATAAGGAGAAGTTGGCCTAGAATAAGTGTTCTTAGAATAGGTACTAAAAGAATTCTCTGACTTGGATTTGCTTTAGTAATCATCAGCCATGGTACTTCCAATCTCTAAAGTTTGCTGTTATGATTTTATTGTGTATTTCACAATGATCTTTCAAACTGTCCCTATATTTTTATGTCTACACAAAGGTATTCCAATTTTTTAAAAAAGCCACAGAATGCATTTAATCTCCTGCATCTTACATAAACATCTATTTAAATGTGTTTTTAAATATACAATTCCACTGTTGAATACATTTACATGACTAAATTTTATTTTGATATGTGTTATTAGGAACCATCTACATAAATAATGGCATTAACAAGCTTATTGATCATCTTCATTTTTGTAAAGTTCTATTAAGCAGAGCTCAGATCATCACTATAGCAACTAATGAAGAAGCAAAAGGTCAGCAACACTGAAAAGAGAATAATCTCCATGAAAGTGCACTGCTCTAGTGATGGCTGTAACTCTCAGAGATGTTTATTACAGATGAGCAATATTTCTACTTTTGTGAACAAATTTACCAATATGAGTTAGTAAGGAAAAAAGATTACTCAGCTACAAAAAGTCTAGCAACACCATTCAGTAAGAACTCCTTAAACACTGAGGAATTTTAAAAGCAAACATTTGTAAAACTATGCTTTAAACCAAATGTTGATGATAATCACTAGAGGGGATAAATGAAGAAAAACTGTAGTCTACATCCAGCAAATCATGGTACAAGAAGACAATCATGCAGCTAAGAATACATTTCAATAATAGTTAACTTTGATGAACATATTAATTTTTCTAGCAGGTTTTACATTCTTGATCACAGGAAAACTCATTATTTGACAGGTCACAATTTAGGGGATCTTCTGTGCCAAGTGAGATGCATACTCCATGGAATTAGCAGCTCCATGGGGAGACCTGTTAAATCCCAAAAGTGAGGTGGGAGGAGTGCCGCATTGTTAATTCAAGTGATTTCCCTCCTTAGAAAATTAGATTGAAGAGGATGAGGAAAATGAAAGAAAAGCACTAACCCAGAAAGGTGAGGGCCTAGCTGACAAATTTTACCCCAAATGAGCCCTACAATATGTTAAACTGAGAAAATGCCAGGGAAGGAAGTATTAACAAGATAGCAAGAAGAGAAGGGGGAAGGGAGAGAAGGAGAAGAAAGGAAGCAAAAAGAAAGGAAGGAAGGAAGAGGGAAGGAAAGAAAGGAGGGAGGGAAGCAAGGAGGCAGGGAGGTAAGGAAGAAAAGGAGGGAGGGAAGGAGGAGAAAGAGAGGGAGGGAGGGAGGGAGGGAGGAAGGAAGGAAGGAAGGAAGAAGGAAGGAAGGAAGGAAGGAAGGAAGGAAGGAAGGAAGGAAGGAAGGAAGGCAGGCAGGCAGGCAGGCAAGGAAGGAAATTTTAATTTATCTTTGTGAGTTTTGCAACTCTCCCTGGAGATCTGCGTGGAACTGGTGATTGTGAAAGTCACTGGTGATTGCCACTGCCCAAGTGAAGATTTAGTTTACATGCATCAGCTTCTCCCAAAACAGTTTACTATTTCCACTGCCTCCTCACTACTTCCTATTTCTTACTTAATAAGGAGAACCTCAAGATGAAAAGAAGAAGATAAGACAATGTAGGCATGATCCCCACATTTTCTTCCCTGCTCCTTATTTATTAAAAGTATGAAAAAGTATTGATGTTCATGAGATTTACATGACCTTCAAATTAATTAATTTACATTTCCTTACCATATACTATAAGAAGGAGATGGCTGTGTGAACCTGAAGAAGTCAGTTTCTCAAGATGAATCTTGAATTGCAAACTGGGCCTAAATTTAAAATAGAGCCAAGTGGCCATTTGCTAACTAGAGACTACACATATACTGTGAGTTCCCAGAAAAGCCATACATCTGCTTAACTTTGGAACTTTCATAACTAACTCTTCTTGCCCATGTTACCTGAATCAACCAACATGTGGCCTGCAGGCATGTGGCCTGCATCAACCAATCAGAACTCAACTGCATCAACCAAACAGAACTAAGCAAGTTTTCAAGTTTTCACAAGAGGACCTGACTGAAAACCTAAATGGGAACTTCCTCTATAAAAGCCAAACAAACCCGGCCTTTGTTCTCTGGAATGTACCTTCAGTTTAAGCTGAGGACTATTTCTTCCCAGTTTGCAAACTGTTTACTACAATAAAATCTCTTTCCTCTATATTCCGTCTCAGAACTTTTGTTCACACTTAGAAGTGGACATATGTACTTGATCAATTGCCTCAAATAATTCATACTGACTACTGGCATTGAAATCTTCTAGTATGATATCTACATTTCAATTTACAGACAGAGTTCCCCACTATATTTAAATGGCAATCAGCTGACTATGAACGAAGGCATTACAGTGGAGTGATATATTAGAAACCCTCTGAGAATAGAGGGAGTGAAGAGATATGTCCTGCTGGAAAATTATTTAGAAACAAATTCAGGGGTGAAATAAAACAGAGATCTTCATCCAGTCAAAGTGCATTCTTGTAAAACTTTTCAAGGTTAGTGCTTCCATCCCAAAAGTCACTGTAGTTTTGCATTAAACCCACTCTGCATCCTATTATTAATAGTTTTTGCCAAGTAAAAAGGTATCATTTTGC